AAATTCTTATGATTTAGAAGACTTGATTTATTTAAAGATCGAAATGATTTAGAAGACTTTTTACTTGCTTCGACGGTACTCAGTGAAATTTTAAATAAATACTTAAATTTAATCAAATACATACTTTAAACACCTCTAACCTTTGAATAAACTTTTGTGATGATAGTTACATTGTGTTAGACAAAGTAAGTGAATCTCACACATCTTCTTCGTCGCCATGGATCTTCAGTCAGAAGTGTATAAAATATGTATTTTAATCAAATTAAAGTATATACTTAAAATATAGTGAAATAGAAAAGTCTGAGCGACAAATCGAATTAAGGTCTTATTTCACTCGATCTAAAAAAGTACTATTGTCATGATAACCTGTATTTATTTAACAAATTCAAACTCTACTCGTTGTTGTGGGTGATGAAGGTGTCCTCTAATCTCTTCAATAACAACTTATATTCATTTAGCACTCTTTTTTTCTGATATTAGAATTGTATTGTAACAACATGTCTGTTTTGATTTAATTTAATAGACCTTATTTTAAAATATTTTTACGATAACTAATTGAAATAATTTTTTTTTGTTTAAGAAAATTTAAGAGTTATTTTCTCGTATATTTTGTTTCAAATTTTAGTTTCATAATCTATTGACCACAATCCAAAATGTACTTACGTTGCATGTATAATAACAAAAGCTAACATAGAAATCACAAAAATATATCGTATAAATTAAAAGACGCCAATTATTACTTCGTGCTTGCACAATTTATTTTAATTCAGTTTAATATTTATTGAATATATAAATTATATTTTAGTTAGAGTAACCACACGCTTAATTGACTAGTGAGAAAGAATTATCTTTTAAGCAATATAACACTAATTACCTCAGTATTATGTTAATTTTTATTTTACAATTATACGAACCACACAAATATACGTCACATATTTAATGAATAATCAATTTAGTTGAGTAGGGCATAACAACATATGATTTCTTTAATTAAATAATAAGGAATTTTAAGTGTGCACGAAATAAATCATGTCAAGTTCTTTAAGTACTTTGCCGTAAGACTATTATATCATATTAAAATTTAATTAATTAAAATTAGTAATATAATATTAACATTTCAAAGTAAACAAGACTAGAATATAAATTGGGGAGAAAAATTATTGCTCTCACCGAAGTTTTGGTTAATAGTCAAAGTGAAGGTGTAATATTTTGAATAATTTTAATATGTTAGACTTTTAAGACTATAAATTCTAAAATACTTTACACACTACAATAGAAAAATAAAAGATTTTTTCTGTCATATAATCTTCTGCCACCTAATTGGATTCTAGTGTAATTGGTTGATCTATTCTATTATTAAAAGTCAAATGTTCTTCATGTAAAATTTGTATTTTCTAAGACGCCAGAAAGTGGGGGGTTCTCAACTGCCGTAAACAACAAATAATTAAAATTTATGACTCAAGCATATGATAAAAATAGTTTGATGATGGTAATTAAAATATATTCATAACCAATTACAGGTTTGACGACACATTTATACACTTTTTTTCTATACCGGCTCTCTCCAAGAGGGGATATCATAGCCAAAACAAAAGTAGGGAAATCACTCTTGAGAATCAAACAAAGAAAAAAAGTGAAATTGAGGTTAAATTATATTGGTAATGTCTTATCATTTTAAATGAAGTAACAAATAATTAATAATAATATATTTAATGTAATTTTATATAGAAGAATCCATATATTTACATATTCCATCACAATTACTTGCTAATCCGGACATACAAGCACATCCCAGGCCAAAACGATGGTTTTGTACCAACTATCATCAGCTGCTACTTCAGCATCCTGCAAACTCATACTCAAGTAGAGCAGCCAACTTTTTGCATTTCTGCCAGGTAAGGCTTATACATATGACCAATATGTGGCCCCGAATTCCGCATTGTTTTATCTTCTGAGATCCATAAGTTTGTATTGCAGATGCTTTGCTATGTCGCCCTAGATTATGAAGCTGAGCTATCATCCGAAAATAGCAAAATTTTTGTTGAGTCATCTGAAGGTAATTGGGTAACACTTTCCGTAGAGCGCTTCAGAACAGAAGATGTTTTGTTCCAATTTGTTACGCCGCTGGCTTCAAGATTTAACACGTGTCAAACATAGTTAATGACAAAGCTGACAGGACAACGACCAACTATAGAGAGAACAAATTAGGTTTTATGACAAAGCTTGCAGTTGTTACTGTCATGATTACAGAAATTGGGTTTTAGGAGTTAATTTTTTTTCAAATCTTTTAGATTATGCAATTTTTGCCTTAGATGTTTACTTTTCTATATTGAATATGCTAATTTCATCGACATAAATTAATTGTTCTGATTTTTGTTGGATAAATTCTTTGTGTTGCAAATTCTTTTCTGATTTGCCTATCACTCCATCGACAACTTTTTCTCCTCCGAGTTTGTTCCTTTCTACAAGAACTTTAATTTTTTGAGAGGCTTACTACTGTGAGACCTTAACAGAAAATAGGAGTAGCAATTTTTGTATACATTATATAGTGACATATCCTAATTAATGTGTTCAGTAATAGTTTTCTTTGTGATTTACATTTGTAACAATATAGTGACAAGTTTGTACTCTATAGGTAAGATATATAGTTCACTGGATAGTCGTAGTTTTACCAAGTGAAAGTTCATAACACATATTAGGCTGAATCAATAATATTTTGTTCATCCCGGACCTATCCTTACTAGTATAATAACATATGGCTAACAATAACGTACGACTATAAAATAGTATAATCATTAATAATTGTGAAAAATTGTAATAATTCACGAGCAAACGAACTAATGCTGCATGTTCAAAATACTTGGTCATGAGTATTGCAAGTAATGAAATCAATATTTATCGGCAATTGGAACCAAAAATGTTACTAAGCCTTTTTTAAAATATGATTCTTTAGCTAATAAATAATATTCTTTTTTGCAATTTATATAGTATGAAATTCCTATGGTTTAGATGGATTGATTTATTTAAGAAGATCCTTTACTTCTTTTGTTGACTTCAGAGGGTTGCAACTTGCAAGTAGACCCTTAAATTTGATCAAAACACATATTTTAAACGCCCTTTGATCATTAATCAAGCCTAATTGTACTTAATTGGAAAAAATACATGAACCACACGTGGAGCATGAATATGAATAATTTTGATTTTAAAAGGACCAAAATTAGAATAAAATAAAAATAACAAATATTGAGTCTATCCGACATTATGATTTGAGATTGTTTTGCATAGATTATATTGATATTATTTCTCTCTTCGAAACCTATTTAACAGCCAAAAACAAGCAATTAATACTCCCTAAACATGTCTTAATTTTATTGCTTAATGGTTAATACTTTCTGATTACCGAATTCGGAGATTCGAGATTAACACTAAGCAAATGAGCTTAATCATCTTTTTGTATCTGCTCTCTTTTTCGTCCCTGGTCATAAATTTATCAATCTTTTTACCTCTTTGTTCTCTGCACAATCGTTTTTTTTAAGAGTGAAACTAAAGTATCTCAATTTACGTGAACTATCACCAATTATTTATTAAAATTCACCTCAATTATCAATTATTCACCTTTTCTACTTCAAATATATCACTATTATTTTGGTAGAAAAGTGAAAACTTATCGTTGAGACATGTTTTGTTGAAAAATAGTTGACGTAGGAAAATAACATAACTAGATATATTTTGACCACGCACATTTTTTTTTTATATAGAAAAAGACAAATATATGTGGATTTTATCCCAATGTTCCTTTTTCTTTTTATTTATTTTTAGGAATATTTAGCTTAAATTTGTGAATTTCACATGGTTCAGTAAGGGTGACAAAAGTTTCAATCTTTTTGTTAAACATGGAATTGCTTTTTCTCAAAACATGTTGTATGGTCTTGAAAATTTGGTTTTGAAAATTGTAGTTCAATATAAGTTCTAATTCTGATAAAAATAATTATTTTTGTGATTTTATTAATTTATATTGTTAATTTTATGTCTACACATCTAAAAATATCTCCTAAATTTATAAAAACACATTTTTAAAAATTTACCATACTTTTCACACCATGCGAAATGTAGATAGTTTTTAATTTTATTTGAATTCAAAGTTCGTTTGTCTGGCTTTTTAATATCTCTAACAAATCTATTTAAAAAGTTCATCATCCCCACCGGATCCGACTCCTCTCCATTTCCCCCAAGTTCTAGCTTGGATTGGAGACACATGTCATAATTTAAAATTAATGGTTAAAATCTAATTGATTAAAGCAAAGGTCTAACCATAGTTATTTACTTCCATATATTTGCTTCTTAAATATTTTTGCAATACATTATATTTTTCCTAAATATATTAAAATCTTTTCATTACTACCTGCATACATATTTAAAACTTTTATTAAGTATTTTACTTTTTTGACAAAAATTATAATACAGTTAAACGTTTTTGACATTCTAATAGAATATTAAGAGCTACAATGTCTATTGAGCAATATGAACTCCATTTAGGGAGTAAGAAAGAATTTAAAGTTGAGTGACAAAATTTATTTTACTCCTAAAATTAATAAAAAAAAGTCAAGTCACAAATTTTAATTTTTTATTTGGCAAATATTATTTGAGAAATGACAAACGTTTGAAAAAAAGAGAGTAAAAAATCAGCAAAAAAATTACTCAAGTAATTAAGAAAAGAAATTATTTTAAATATATTTAGAAAAAATATAATATAAATCTAAAATTGTTGGATTGCAAAAATATTTAAGAAGCAAACATATAAAAGTAAATAACTATGATTATGAATTTTATTTTAATTCATTAAATTTCAACCATCAATTCAAAACTATGACATGTGGCTTGGTGCGGATGGGAGAGAATCCAAATCCTTATTTTTCTTTTCTTAATATTTTTTTCCGGTCTAAATAATTGTGTAAACTGTTTTTTCACTTTGAAAAGAAAAAACAAAAAAATAAAAAACTTTTTTTTTTTCGTTTTCTCCCAAATCTCTGGAAAAAATCTTGTAATATTAATTAAAAAAAGAAGAAGCGAAGATCATCGATCCAGAAGCAAAGTCAATACGCTTGTGATTGGTAATTTCATCAATCCCCAGATTTAACTTCAATTTCAATTTTTTTTATTTATGTGAATCTTCGTTAGAAATTGAAATTGATATATTTATGTTGATTGAGTGAGAATGTGCTTTCTTGTTTATCCGAATTTTTATCCTTCCACTTGTATTCCAAATTGTTTTTTTAGGTAATGGATGCACTTTGTCAATTTAGTAATATTTGAGGAATTTTGAGTTCATAGTGTTGGGCGGAGCTAGAATTTTGAGTTTATGAGTTCTGAATTTTAAAAAAGAGAAGTTTAATGGGTTTTGGCTCAATAAGTTATACATATTAAGTGAATTTTCTTCATTTTTTTTCTTATGTGTTTTGCTTGGGTTTGATGCACTTGAACCAATTGTCCACGAGATAGTAGTAAGGTCTGCGGAAATAGCCTCTTACTTCCATGAGGTTGTGGTAAGGTCTATGTACACTCTACCCTCACCAGACCCCACTTAGTGGGATTTCACGGGGTATGTTGTTGTTGTTGTTACATATTAAGTGAATTTCTTAATATAAATATAGGGTTTTGACCAAAGCTATTGAGCATGTAGCTTAGCAATTTTGTTAAGGGTGTTTAAAGCTTAGTATATATTTTTAAAAAAGTTGTTTTGACCCTGTATATGCAGTATTATTTTCTGTATGTACAATGTAATTTTTCAACGAAGGTTCTTTGAGTGACCACCCTTGAGTCAATGTAGCTATGCCACTGGCTAACACACCCTTGTCAGGTGTTCTTTCATGATGGTCTTTGATAAGTTTGATGTGGAAACTGTTGTGGGGTGAATCCCTTTTAAGAATCTTTTTAAGTAGCTTAAACATGCCATGAGTCAAGGAGACCTCCTAAATTATTTATTGAATTTGCTTTCTTGAAACTCTTGAATTGAGCATACCTTGTTGTTTTCTATGGTTAAGGGACACAAAGTACAATGTAGGGGCAGGGAAAGCTACTTCATTTGGGGCAGGTGCCAAACATGATCATAAATTAATGGAAATTTGCAGTTAGCATGGCATACTGCATAAGTTAGTATCACTTGCGGGAAGAAGAAATGGGGAGGACATTAGAAACTTGTTAGGCTGCATCAGTGTAAAATCCTAATGAGTGAGTGCTAAATATATCTAAGAGTCCATCATCTGAACAATATAATATTTCAATTTACTCTGCACATTTGAATCGTTATATCAAATTTGATGTCGATCTATTTCTCTACTCCCCTTATGAATATCATTTACTCTTTTTACAGTCTCTACACTTCAGGCGTGTCTTTCTTGCGTTGAATAGTTTCAGAAATTTTAAAAGAACGTCTTCAAAATCACACATCTTTGCAAACTTTGAATGATTTGTTTTAAGTAACATAGAAGTTGCGGGTCTACAATTTATTACTCAGAGAAGACTTGAGCGTAAATTCAGTTATTTCTTCTATTTGTCATATGTTTTGAATTGGTCAATTAGATATTTGAGAGCAGAAGTCATACGATTTCAAGATAATCTAAAAGATTAAAGTGCATTTTAGAAATGGTACTCACTATCTCTCTTTCTTGAACAAGTAAAGGAAAGCCCCGAGTTATTGGAGCCGAAAGCAGGAAAGTCCCATAAAAAGGCCTTGTTGGAATACACTGTCCAAATAACAGAAAGTACGAACATTTGTAATATTTCCCACTTCAGATCTGCAAATTGAACTCTTACCATATTGTGTTTGTTGTAGTTGTATGCTTGTGAAAGCAAGATGGTGAAGTTGACTATGATTGCTCGTGTGACTGATGGTCTTCCTTTAGCGGAGGGGCTGGATGATGGCCGTGATATTCAAGATGCAGATTTCTACAAACAGCAAGCCAAGTCCTTGTTTAAGAACCTTTCTATGGGCCAGATTGAGGCATCAAGGATGTCTGTAGAAACTGGGCCTTATATTTTCCAGTATCCTTTTATTTTGTTTCATTTAACATCTGTTCAATGTTCTTTGTGTGATCAAATCTCTCATATTAATGCTTACCCAAGTTTCTAAAAGTGCGGAGTTATCTTTTTGAACTTTATTTTGTGAGATGGGTACAAGCTAAGTAACAAGATGGTCACTCCAAATAGCTTCTCTGAATTACTCATAGTCAAGATAATGATGTGTAGCAATTTCAATCTCAGAGAATACTGCAGAATTTTGTCACTTTGCTTGTGCACTTGTTAGTGAAACTGCATTTTTTTAATTTTTGGGTGAAAGCAGGTCCATTAGAGAGTCCTGAACAGGTTTCCCCCCCTTCTAAAAATAATTTAATAAAACTATTTGCCAACTATTGCCAGTGTCTTTGCTGCAGTTATAATCAGCACAGCTTGTGGGAGAACTGTAATTTGGTATACACATGAGTGGATTGTATAACATCTGCAGTTAGTGTTGCAAAATTTAGGGACAACTAGGATTTTGTATTAGCATAAGTAATGAGGGTTCCTCGGGTTGCCTTTGATAAATTTACAAACCTGTTAATGTGTTGAGATAGTTCTTGGTAGATAATTTTGCACAAGATATGGTTCTCTACAAATAATATTCAATCAATTTTACCAATAGTCGCATCATGGGCAGATTAAAAATGAACAAAAAACCTGCCTTGATCCTTTTCTTCCAAAGTACCCACAAAATAGGCAAAGGGATGAAGGATGGATCCGGCTAAGTGCTTCCGATGAACCAGGAGGGATCTTTTTTGTTTTCGTATTGGCAGACTTATTTCTCTTATCACGTATCCCTCTTCTTTTTCTCTTTCAACCCAATTTCTTTCTCAATCTAAAATAGTAATTTGAATGACATCTACTCTTGGATACACAGGAACTGATAAATTCGTTTTGGAAAAGCAGAAGCTAATAAATAAGCACACTACAATATGTTCTTATTATTAGTGGTCTGTTTTCTGGCCTTTTTCATGGTATGTGTGTTACCTGTGTGAGGACTATGTATTCATTTTCTTGATTAATAGTAATATCAATCTTGTAGATAGCAGTGTGATTTATTGAACAAAATCTCATGGGTGGTTTGCATTCCAATTTACACTTTTCTTCCAGCACCCTTTCCTTTCTAAAATAGATGTACTTAACTACTGCTTTTTGACACTAAAAGAAGGTGTTCTCTGGGGATTTAGTGTTCTCTTAACTGGTTCACTCAGTTATAACATTGAAGGCCGTGTTTGTTATTTGACAATGTGTGACCGTTCTTATCCCAAGAAACTTGCTTTTCAATACCTAGAAGACCTCAAGAATGAGTTTGAGCGTGTCAATGGGAGTCAAATCGAAACTGCTGCTAGGCCTTATGCTTTTATTAAATTTGGTATGGTCTTGTCATTACTGTGCACTGTTATAATTTCTAATTGATCTTCTGTTGAATACTAATCTTTTTTCTTTCTGCAATTTGTATTTTTCTCGTTTCAAAAAGATACATTCATACAGAAGACAAAGAAACTGTACCAGGACACCAGAACTCAGCGCAATATTACAAAGTTGAATGATGAACTCTACGAAGTTCATCAGATAATGACTCGAAATGTACAAGAAGTTTTAGGTGTTGGTGAAAAGTTGGATCGTAAGTTTCTCATTCCAATGTTTGCCTGACCTCATTACCTTCTTATAGTAGCTGGAAAGTTTCTTGTGCCATTGTTAGCACTACTTTATTGATCTTTTAAATATCTGTGATGTTATTAATCCTCAATGTCCTGTTCTGTCAGTTTGGCCTTGAAAAGCTACCAAATGCTGTCTGACAGCTTCTTTATGCTTTTATTTTCTGTCATTTTTAAGTTTATTGTTATCCTGATAGTTAGTGGTAGTGCTTATTTGTTATGTCCAAGGAGTGTCTTGCAAATATGAAACTTCATAGTATACTTCCTAGTTCAGTTATAAAGAAATTTTGAGCTCCAAGTTTTTCACTAATGGTGCACCAGAAACAAGTTGAAAAGAGTGTGAAAGACATGTCCATTATGGTTTATTCATCCTCCTTAGACTTCATTAACTTTTTTTAACAACTGACTTTGGTGTGAGGTTCCTCTACATTGTGATATAGTGTATATTGGTATATATGCCCTTTGTCAATAACCAAAACAAAACTGACTTTTGTGTAACTTAATTTGATGACTTGTAAATATTGATTCCTCTTTTTTTCTCTTTGTTATGTGCTCCTGGAAAGGAAATCTCTGTACTCATTCATCTTTGATCATAAGGCTACCAAGCTAAAGCCTTCATGTATTTCTTTATTACATATGTTCTTTCTTCTCACGACATGATTAGGCCATACAAAGGACAACTATTATCAGATGAGCTATAATCTTAGAAATCCTTATATTCTCAAAAAAGTAGGTTGTTGCTCTGCTACTCACTTGTGGTGCAAAGAGTGGAGCAAAATCAACTTGTATTAAAATAAAGTTAAGAGTTGTGTCAGCTGTGACATTTTATTGCATCATAGAAATAAAAAACACAGAACTAAGAACAGAAAACAACAAAAGAAAATAATTTATATGACTGATACAAACTAATTCGGGTTAAGGCTTCTTAATTGTTATTACAATAGTTCATGTGTTTGTCAGGAGTCTTTTTATTCTAGTCAGAGACTCGTATGTCTGTTTAGGGGTAAAGTGAGATATAAAGAACCTCCAGTTTTAGAGAACTCTTATTTTTCTTGAAAGACATCATTTATTTATTTAATTTTTATGATTCATATTTATTTATTTTTTTGAGAAATCTGAGGGTTAGTTGGAATGAAATGCATCTGAATAAAGAGGAACTTTACAAAGATTCTTTTAGTTTACCCAACTCATTTTTTTTTTTGATGAAGTAAATGTTCCATTGAAGGCATCAAGAAGATGCAAATTAGTTACAAAAGTAGAAGCAAAAACAGTTGGTCTGATGGCTCAAGTACAATTATGCTAAAACTAAGGAGCCAACAAAATTTGAAAAACTATCCAGGGAATCTACATAGGACAAATTAACCCAACTGTACAGACACATAAGGCATTCCGCTTTGAGAGAATGTAAAGGAGTTGATAGACCTTCAAAACATCTTCTGTTCCTTTCCCTCCAAATACTCCAAAAAATTGCTGCAGGTATCATCTTCCAAGTCTGTTTGATGGTGCTGTCAACTTTCCAGCAACACCAACTCTCATAAGCTTCTTTGATACTATGTGGCATGACCCAACTGAGTCCAAAATGAGAGTAAAACATGTTCCACAATTTTGCTGTAACAGTACAATGCAGAAAAAGGTGCCTATTGCTCTCTGCTGCTTTCTGACATAAGTAGCATCCATTCACAATGATGCGTTTCCTTTTATAGAGGTTGTCTTGAGTTAGGCATGCTTCATATAGTGCAGTCCAGCAAAAACAGACGATCTTGGGCGGTAGCTTGATTTTCCAAATTAATTTCCATGGCCAGTGGTCAGTGACTGCATTAAATGCTCTTGACTGCTTGTAGGCTGCACTCACTGTGTAATTCCCGTCTCCTGTAGTACCCCATTTGAACTGATCTGTTGCCTGAGTGTTGAGAGAGAAACTCTGTAGAGTCTGTAGTAGTTTGATCAGGTCATTAAACTCCCAATCCTGCAAATTCCTTCTAAACATAATGCTCCAGGTTGTTCCATCTCTATTTTGAGAAATTGTTGAGTCTGGATCCCTGGCTAAGTTGAAAAGACTTGGATAATCATCCATCAGAACTGTGTTGCGAAGCCATTTGTCTTTCCAAAATCTGATATGAAGTCCATTCCCCACTGTGAAGTGCTTATGCTGAGAAAATTTCTCCCATAGCTTGCATATGTGTTTCCAGACTCCGACTCCATAAGGTGCTTTTGAAAGACTGGTGCACCAATGACTCTGTATCCCATGCTTTGCACTGACCACATCCTTCCATAAAACATGTTCCTCCTGTGTGTATCTCCATAACCATTTCATAAGTAGACACTTATTATGCCCCAACTCATTTGGAACTGATATTGTTGATTGATTGAATATAAAACCAAAAGCACATGTATGCTTTTCTGTCAGTCATAACTCATAAGACTAGTAGCTTTAATATAGATCAACAATCATACTCTTCTATGATATACATTTGTTATGTAGTTGGTTGAGTTCTCCCTCTTTTTTCATCCTTCTTATGTTCATCAAACATTCTCCCATTGTTTATGTTTGATATTAGAGATTTGATTGTTCAAATATGAAATTGTGCAGAGGTCAGTCAGATGTCCAGTCGCTTGACATCAGAATCCCGCATTTATGCTGATAAAGCAAGAGATTTAAACCGTCAGGTTAGTGTCATGGAAATTTTGAGATGATACGATCATATTCTTAGCCAAAATGTACTTTTATCCTTAAAAAAAGGTGTACTTTCTACTTTGCATTAGTTGGAATGAAAAATGGTGATGTAGGAGGATTTAAAGGAACATGAAACTTGGGATTTGTTCTTTACTTTCTGATGTGCACACAGATGCATATGATGTAGGATGTCACTGTAGAAGATTATAGGGCTCGATATGTCCAAGTTTATTGTGGATGAAAATAAACTAATGTTCAACGGAGTATTTGGAGGCCTGTTGATAGCATGTGCTTTGATTCTTATCACATGCTATTAAGAAACAGAATGGAGAAATGTTTAACCATGATTATCACCAGCAAGGACTTCTGTTTCCTGCCATTGCTCTTTGAATCTTGCACTTAGTTTGGTCCTCAGTTGTGCTTTGACTAGGACATACAACAGAAAATGGCAATGAAACTTTGACCATGTCTAGTTCTAGTTTTAGGTCCCATTTCATTTTCTTAAGATTCAATTTGAATCCTAAACAATTATGACGGTTTTTTTTCTCAACATTTGAATATGTAAAACATGTAAAAGGGCAAGTCAGTGCACAAAGCATCCCGCGTTCAAACAGTGTCCAGGGAAGGGCTGCACCCCATGGGGTGTGATGTAGAGTGTAGACTGTCTACCCTAATGCAAACATTAGTGACCGCTTTCATGGCTTGAACATGTCTTTATTTAATAAATTAATAATATAAAATTCAAATAAAATATTAACGAGTTATACTATATCAATAAATATTTTTAAAAAATCATATGGTGATTGGTGGTGGTGCTTGTGGGTGCTGACTGGGGTGGTAGTTGGTGGTGGTGATTCTGGGTGGTAGCTAGTGAATTGTAATAATGGTGGCTGATAGTATTAGTAATGGTGGTGGTAGTTGTTGGTGGTCATTGATAATTGTGGTGTAGGATAGTGATAGCTAATGGTAGTGGTGGTTGATAGTGGTGATTGTCGGTAGTAATTGGTGATTGTGGTAACAGTGGTTGATGGTGAGATTATAAATGGTGACAAGTGGTGGTGACGGTTGACTATGGTGATTAGTGGTTGTGGTAGTTGATAATGAATAGCATCATAATGATATTAAGACTTCGTTATATATTTTACTCATTTAGATCTATTCAGACATGTAACTAGTGAAAACAAGAATAACACACTTATTGATTGAGATTTGAAGTATTATGACTCGGGTCTAAAAAATAAATGCCCTTAATGACTAAAATTTGAATATTAAATCCTACTATCAACGGCTATGGTGTAGTGGATGGGGCTGCTCCTTCCTTAACTAGAGGTCTCGGGTTTGAGCCCTAGGTATGAAAAAATCCATGGTAGGGGGAAGTGCAAAAATTTGAATATTAAATCCTTGCACTAGCGTAGACAAGCAGTCATGTATCACATGTTGATGGTCTTGCCTCCTGTCTTGATCAATATGCTTCTTTTATTTTCTTATTTGCAATCACTTTAATATATTGGCTCATTTGTTTATTAACTTTAGGCTCTGATTCGGAAATGGGCACCCGTGGCTATTGTCATTGGAGTTGTTATTCTCCTCTTCTGGGCGAAAAATAAGATATGGTGATGCAACTATACCATATGCAGCTTAGAGAAGTGTTGTTACTCTTTGATACTTACTGATTTTGCAACATCAAACTGTTTGGCAACCGATAGACCACTTAACATTTCAAGGTGGCTACCGTGTTGTGCGCGCAATGAAGAGAGTTTTTTGGCAGATGAGACACTCAAGCTATGAGTTTGATAATGTAAGACAGATAAACCATGATGAGCCATGTTGGTAAACATTGACAAAATGATATTAATCTTAATCCTCACAGCATATTTTGCCTTGCTTAACTTCAAAATTCGAAGTGCAACATATATTGTAGTGCTGAGTTGATCAGTTGCAACTTTTGATATATTAAAATACAGCTATAAGATTGCAGTGTTGATGTTTAGTTTTTTATTTCTTCTCCTCCACTTATGCATGTTGATGAAGTTCTGGTGTTTATACACAAGGCTCGATTGTAATTGAGTCGAAGCAAGAAATACTGAATGATGAGCAACATTTTCCAGAAAAATGCCAGAGTGTGTGCAACGAATGATTCAATAATTACCAAAAGCTTACCACAACAGGACTTGTATTTGCAGCAATCATTTCGACATAACACCATTAGGCTTGTCAAAGTTACAAAAATGGTTCCCCTCATGAGTATGGAATTTTCATTCTAAAAGGGATTTACTTGTGCTTTTAAGCTTAACTTTACTAGCTTCTTGAAAAGGAAAGAAATATGAGGAAATAGACATTCTCTTTTATTGAGAAGAATTTGATCCAAATAGATGAAATACTTGAGGAGAGTGAATTCTGACTTAGGTAATTCTTATGAGCAAGAGTTCTCATGAGAAGGAAATAAGTAGAGGACATTTTGGAAAATTTAGTACTTGCATATGAAAGAGTGAATAAAAAATTAAATATTTAGTGATTAATCCATTATATTCGGAAAAAAAAAAACAGAATAAAAGGGAAATAAGTTTTACTTAAATCAAAGCAGAGGAAGTACTGCTTATCTTGCAGATGACTCAGATTATCTAAAAAAGATCTTAATATGCAACTATAAGCTAATAGCTTTTCTGACTTAATAAAGCAAAATTTCCCTTAACTCGAATTTCAATAGACTACAAAAATAAATACACACATCCACTTAAATTTACACAAGCCTGACAAGTAATTAAGCCTCTTCTGGTCTTCCATCTTAAACAAATCAAGAAGTTGGTTCCTCCTCCATCTCCATTTTGTGTATTGTATATTCCCTCTCAAACAACAAAAATTCCTGCATGAAATGTGAGTCTCAACTTTAGTAGCAGTATCTAATTACTGTATAGCAGAAATTAACCGAATAACAAGATAACAATATTAAGCCATGATTTCATTATTGTGGTTCCAGAGAATCCAATCGTCCTCTACAAATGGTTGCACACTCTAATCTACACTAGCAAATCATGGTGTTGTTATCTCAAAACATCCTGCTCATGACAAACAGCGGAGATATCGGCTGTAACAGAAGCTAGATATTACTGTCATTAAGCACTAAGGATGTGACCAAATGAAGTCGGAGCTGTGGGGAGGATGAAGGGAATCAATCACGGTCACACAACTAGGTCAACAGCATCAAAGGTTAGGAATAATAACTACTTGGGCTTGAATAAACATTGGAGAACCGATAGAAAATCTAAGTAGTTATGGAAGAGTTTGTGAGTGATGCATGAGAGCTGATGCAACTTTGGCAAACACAACAGTCATCTTAGTTGATAGGAAAGCTCTATTATCTCTTTTCCACTGCATAAAGGGTAGAAGCCTGAAAGTTAGCTTACCTGCAACTGATTCTGACTGAAGAGATGAAGAAATCCAATTTCAGGATCTGTGACAAGGTTGATCAACTCATCATGGTTATTAGGTGGATTACCAGACTTCACGAGTGAGACAGAAACCTACAAAAGAGCTCAACAGATCAGAACTGGGAGAACAAACAGATACGTCCTTGTAGTTTTTGCTCTATTCAAACGTTCAGAATTGTCAAATAAGATAATGAAAAGTTGTGGTTAGCATTTGATTTAAATGATAGCGCACACAATATTATCAATAGTTAGAAATTATTAGTTCCAATAGAAAGCTCACCTGCATACACCGCAGAATGACTTCAGAGATGCAACACCTACGACAAAGACCATGCACTATGTAGGTTGCAGGGCCTCCAATAGAACCATCACCGTCAGAATACCAAGCATCTAATCGAGATATCTCCATTGTAACTCCAGCTTGAAAGCGAACAAGCTCCCCTTTAACAAGAAACAACATAATTTAACAAGATGAAGGGATAATATATAAAAGAGAAAGGGAAAGGGAAAAAAAAGCAATGAGCTTCATCAGAATTCCCGTTTACAAATCAAGCCAACTAGCGCATTCTCATGCAAATGAGCTGTAGAAGAAGTTAGTACTAGCTTAGTAAAAAGAACTGCCTCCCAGTGATTCTATGGTCCATAAGGTCAAGAACGGATTAAGATCTGCATAATGAGATTGACTTCAAATGGTAAAAGATCTGATGATGTGTTTTGGACTTATGGTGAACTTAGAACTATAGAACAGGGGTAAAAATTACAAAAATCAAACGATCAAAGGTTTTGACAGTAGCAGATACTAATACAACACCATGTCAATCAAGAGATTTGATATCACTTGAGTTTCAACAAACCTCATTGGATTCATTGGTAATAATATACAGGTAAGATTCTTTCCCAAAAGTCGCGGTCATTGTCTTGATCCATATATGCTATGAGGAAAAAACACTAAGAGGATACTAATTAATGATAGTACAGTTCATAAAGCAACTATACATAGGGAATTGAGAAGCATGTTCAACCAAATGAAATACAGACGTTATAACTTTCTTTATGTGCAATATATGAGCACAAACTATATACTGAAAATAAAATAGTACCTAGACACTAGCAGAATAACTATTTGAATCCATTCATTGAGCACAATCTATATACTGAAAATAAAGTAGTACCTAGACACTAGCAGAATAACTATTTGAATCAATTCATAAACTCATTCTCAAGAAGTCGGCAGTACCATACTATGACCTTACTTTCTTTCCACAGAGAGCAAGAGAATCAATATTGACTGATCATACTTGAGCTTAGCAGAGTTTTGCCAACATAATAGTCAGATGGTGTGACAAGATTTAAAGAGGTTGATTCGAATTCAAAATGACACTGGGTTCATTAAAAATGTTTTTCTAGAAAATTATATTTTCCTTTACAAAATCATTCTCCAGTATTTGGTTACCATAAACTGTGGAAATATATCTCTTGAAAAATACTTTTTTACAAGGTAAATATATTTTCCACCAAGTGGGAAACTGATAGAATCACACATGGACAAAAGTCATTTGTTATACAATATCCCAACTCTTAATCCATAACAGCAGTTCTAATCAACACGACATTGTAGTCAACTGGAATTTGCACTCTGGTCTTCCAGGTTTGCACCCACTCCAATGTGGTGGAGTTTGTTGTTCAAGTAAATATGTCAATTTTTTGAGAGGTGCTAAAACAGTGAGTAAATCAAACAAAATGTGGTCTAGGAAGCATTAAGTAAGCAGAGGTGAAATGAGAAAGTAAACACAGATAAAAAAGGATAGAAAAGAAAACACATAAAATTGGAGGAAAGAAAGAACAAAGAAGATGGAACACCAGAAAACTAATTGAAAACTACAAATGAAGATAAGGCTAAAGCAATTTAATATCAAGGCCTAAAATACACAACCCGAAACTAATTGAAACTAACTAGTGGCAAAAAGGGAGAAAAAGATGAAATGAAAAAGAATGACATATAACTAGTGATATTTGAAAGCGCACAGCAATTTGCAGCTTAAGATGAATGTGGTCCTAAAAAAAGCTCCAAGAAGACAATCGTATCAACGGGAGGGCCAAACTGGGAGAAGGTTATTCTTAAAAGTTAAAACAAGTTCATCAACCAGAGAATCTCATACCTTTAAAACCAGCAGCAAGCATTGCAGCAAGAATACCACCATCATGGAACTTATGTGACCCAAGCCCATCGTTTTCTGTTGCTAAGCAGCGCAATACAACCTCGACACAATAGTTGTCTCTGGACGATATAGAGACACTCACCTGCACAAACATTAACACAATGCCAATCACCAACATTATTATGTTTATGTTGAAGGTCAAGTCTTCCTAAAGCATAACCTTTTGCTTGAATCAGGGTTTAATTAACTGTTGATTTAAATATTTTGTTTTAACCGAAAAGCCTAATAGGTTGCTTGGATTGGCTTATTTTGAGTGCTTTTAAGCCATAATAGCTCTTAAGCACTTTTGGAGTGTTTGGGTAAATAAAGTGCTTATAAGCACTTGGTTTAAGCTAAAATGATAAAAATAAGCCAAAAGCCATAACAAGGCTAGAAACCCACTACAAAGGGTATGAGCCTTATAGCTGGATGAGTATGTGTACTATCTATTACTCTTATTTTAGTTAACCTGCCTAAATATCAGTGTATGGACTATCATATTCTATATAAATCATTACACCAATAGGCCATAACCAAGACAGATGTATTCATGTTTAAGTACATTTGCTAGCTAGCATGTCCATTCCGACATCCCCAACACCCCTTTTCTGGCACTGATATCTTGGCAGAGAGATTCCATTTTACCATTTCTAAAGCTCACTAAAACTTGTCTACTTTTGATAGGTACCTTGATTAATGGAAAATTAGACCAACATGGTCCAAGACTCCAATTATAAATAAAAGTTAGACACAAAAAGAAAGAGAGGACACTCATGTATTGGACATGTCCTCACTGGAAAAATTAGCATACCATTATTTGGCGATTTAATACTTCTTCCTCACTGACAGAAGAGTAAAGGGCGCTCATTAACGTTGTACATAAGGTGGCATCGGGAGCCATAAAATCACCAGCTGATGAACAAAGCATCGCAGTTGCATGCAACTCCAGGAAAACAGGTTCATCACTTTCCAATACGTGATCTTCAGTTGGAACTAACCATGGATTTTCTTGCCCTAAGATACACATTCAGCACATTAATTTTGTGGAAGCCCAACAATTCAACTGTAAAAGGCATACACTTGAGAAGAAATTGAGAGCCAATGTGTGGGGTAGACGAAGAAAAAATGAGAGACTTTGCAAGGGATAGGCATATCATTTATGAGAAAGCAATACATCTTCTAAGACTA